AATTTGAAATTTGAAATTTGAAATTTTGAATTTTGAATTTTGAATTTGAATTTTGAATTTGAAATTTGAATTTGAATTTAAAATTTAAATATTTGAACGTTTGAATTCAAATGTTTGAATTCGAATTTGAATTGGCTATGAAAAGTTGTTTCATAACAAAAGGATAAGATAAGATCTTGTTGCAACAAATCCCAAATATCAAGAGGAGATCTTTGAGAATCTTCTAGTGAGGATATGGGGCGCTGATTAAGGTATCTGATGATGGTCATAGGATCAACCAAATGAGCTCCAGTCAGATTTGGTTTGTTGAGAGAATAAGTGAGACAGTTGGTTCAAGTTTGAATGCAACTGTTCAATGTATCTGGACTGTTATGAGGCCAAGTGGGGCGCACCATGTGGCTGACCTTGAAGGTCGAGGCATGTGAGAGGGAAAAACAAAATTTTTCGAGCGGAATAACACATACCATATCAAGAAACATGCTTTAGGGCATGGATGTTACCTTGTTTGCTTTCCAAAACTGGAGGATGATCAAGATGAGGCTTGAAGATGCAAGCCCTCTAATGTTGATCCACACCACCCTTTGTCAAGACGGAAGAACTCTTCTTCAAGGCCACCAACGAAAACACCAATGGAGGCAAGCTATGCGCCCAATGTGTGAAGGAGGAGGCTAGGTCAAGGTGTTTAGAAGAGTGAATATTCAGCAAGAGTAGACACAAAAGTGGCGCATGGTTTTCTTTGAAAAAGGCTAGGTTATTTCGAAACTCTCTTAAGAAAAACCTCAAAAGGAACCCACAAGGAGATGGGAGAATGAGTTAATTAAAAATCTAATTTTTTTCACTCAAATAAGGCCCTATATATAGCGCACACTAGGGGGATGAGTGGAGTTGTTGCAAAATTTAAATCTTGTCAACAACCTCCTCTCACATCCTCATGATATCAAGTGAACATCTCAACAAGAATCTGACTCAACAACCATCATATGGCCAGCCATATGGTGCGCCCCACTTGGCCTCATAACAGTCCAGATACATTGAATAGTTGCATTCAAACTTGAACCAACTGTCTCACTTATTCTCTCAACAAACCAAATCTGACTGGAGCTCATTTGGTTGATCCTATGACCATCATCAGATACCTAAATCAGCGCCCCATATCCTCACTAGAAGATTCTCAAAGATCTCCTCTTGATATTTGGGATTTGTTCCAACAAGATCTTATCTTATCCTTTTGTTATGAAACAACTTTTCATAGCCAATTCAAATTCGAATTCAAACATTTGAATTCAAACGTTCAAATATTTAAATTTTAAATTCAAATTCAAATTCCAAATTCAAATTCAAAATTCAAATTCAAAATTCAAAATTTCAAATTTCAAATTTCAAATTTCAAATTCAAAATTCAAAATTCAAAATTCAAATTCAAATTCAAAGTTCAAATTTCAAAATTCAAATTTCAAATTTCAAATTCAAAATTCAAAATTTAAACATTTGATAATTAATTTAACTAATTAAATTAATTAGTAATGTCTTGGACCATCCAAGCCCATTAACTAACCATGTGCCCTTTTTTTCCTTTTGGTGGGCTTCCAAACTTCTTCTTGGGCTAACAACCATTATTAGGCCCAATACCTTTAATGCTATATTGTCATGACAATAAGGTGTTAGTGTGTGACCCATTAGGCCCAACATAGCCACTGACATAAATGGGCTTGGGCCCAATAAGCCCACAACCCATCTAATGACAACACAGAGCACTAGCAATGCTTTGTTGCCCCAGAGCTAGTTAGGTTAATGACATAATCATCCTATTACACATATTTGGTTGCCGTATGTATTTCCTTTCGTCTCGGTTACCTTCCCATAAAACCTAGGGTAAGGAAGCGTATCAACCCTTGCGGTTTAGGATAAGCTTTATTCGAAATAGGGAATCTTCAATTTACTGACTCTAAAGGCAGATCATCTCATGATCTCTTTTACTATGCATCGATTCCCGAGTCCCTGTAAATGTCATCCTGATTTCTCCGGTTTACAGATAACCTAATCTCTCACAAAGATTTGACGAATTCCTTCAGCTTATCACCCTAGCCCTGTGCTCTTTCAGGACAAGCCCAATAGTATACCTATGAGTCTCCATGTTTTAGGCAGACGAGGTATACAGTCAAAGCATGCCTTCTAGAACACAGTCTAGGTAATAACTTCTGGTCTAAGGAAAGACATACCCAAATATAAAGAGATTACTCTAATGATACTCTCTGTGAGATTTCCTCATAGAGTCTATTTTGTGGGTCTGTTCAGTGCGAGCTATACCGTTATAGATCCACCTACGACTTTAGCTAAGACATCTCCATATCTGTAGCTCATGAGGTCTTTGCCTTGCATCCGAATACAAGTAGATAAGTCGTGCTAGTCTTACCCGAGATCACTGATCCCCATTCTCAGTGTCTCTAGACTAGGAACATAAAATTAGGAATAAACATCCAATATCCTTGAATCCTCATGATCGTGATCTCATCACAGATACTCAAGAGATACCTATTTTATTCCAAGGTGTTTATCCAGTTAACAGTAATAGCGAGACAAAATATGAAACAAGGTAAAGAATGCTTTTATTTATTTGAGACAATACAAAGGTCTACATCTATGTCCTTATTTAATCATATGATTGTCTCTAGGACACCCAGATACTAACAGCTCGGACACATTTTTTTTTTTAAATCTTAATTTTATTTTGTTAACTAAATATAAAAGAAATAATCTGTAAATTAATTTTTCTCTTATGAAATTTGACATGAAAAATTAGCAAAGTACGAAAAATTATTTATATTTATATTTATGTTATGAAATTTAAATACACTACAAGAAAAGGTGCAATTTGCGACGGTCCAATTTCGATTTGGAGGCGGTTAAAACCGTCGCTACAATACTAGTACGGCGGTTAACCAACCGTCGCCCAATCAATCGTCGGGAAGAAATCAACGACGGTCACTTTCAACCGCTGGAACAACCGTCGAGAATAATTCAACGACGGTTAGAACGGCGGTGTGGCCGCCACATAATGATCATCGAAATTACTATGTTTTACTTTTGGAGGCGGTTGTAAACCGCCTCTGTATAAGTAACGTGGTTTTGGAGTCGGTTTAGAACCGCCTCTGTATTTCCTTTTGGAGGCGGTTCGTAACAGCCCCTAAATAAGTGATAAGGTATTTCGCGTCTGGTGGGAACCGCCTCTGACTTTTATTTGGAGGCGGTTTGTAACAGCCTCTAAATAATAATTTAAAAATTAATTTAAAATTTATTAAAAAATTTATAAAATAATTTTGTATGATTGATTGTATTCGATAATTTTAAAAAAAATTAATCAATTTTTTGTTTCTTATATTTCTAAAATCCTATTTTTTTTAAATTTAATAATAGTGATTTGTTATTATTTTATAAATTTATTCAAATATAGAATATTATTGCTATACATAATTTTTGAAATGTCGTCCAAATATAATTAAAATTATTAACAAAAAAGATCATTCATAAAAATGTTATTGAATAAATATATATATATTAAACCATTTATCATAATAGGATTAAAACATCAAACTTGATGTTTTGTACTATCATCTAAACAAAAAATATAAATTTCAAGAATATATATAAGGCGATAGCATACAACATTAGCACAAAGGATTTGGAATTCATAAAAAATGCTAGCAAAGCATCTTGTCATAAAATGAGTATACATCAACAAAATACTTGAATCAAGTATACGCTTTTTAATTAAAAAAAAAACAAAAAAAAAAGCATAAACAAAAAGCATCACAAATGGCTCCTATATACAACGAAGCACATACAAGCATAAAAGATAGCTTGCACCCTGTCGTATCTTGTGCATATTATTATTAGTTAATGAGATAGCTTGTAAAATAGAATAACAACTATAGCAAGAACAAGAGCTCCAATCACAGATGCAACGATCCATTTGTTTCTAGTTATTCTTCGTGACATGCTCGTTACAACCTTCTTACTCTTGTCGATAGCATCATCTACCCCATGAAGCTGCAAGTCATAGAAAAAATGACCATCAACCAACAATCACCACCGCTTCTACATCACACTTGCAATCTTATTCTCCGAGGAAACGTATCATGATTGATTTTAATACTTTTCCTTAGAGAATAAAATCATCTCATGATTCTTTACTAGTAAATTAAAAGAGGACCAAAACTATCTAAAATTGACATAAAAAGAACACCATTGAAAAAAATAGCATTCACATATAAACATACCTTCTTATGGGAGTTCAGAAGAGTCTCACGCTGCTGGTGTAAATCTTGAAGTATTGAGACACCAATTTCTTCAGTTTCCAGCATTCACATATAAACAATAATAATCGCAACTCAGGCTGCACAACGGATGCAAAACACAAACATCTTACAATAAATACACCTGCAATAACATAGCCTCTATATGAATTGGTTGCAGTTGCTGATATCGAACCCACATTCAGTCACAAATATTTCTTGAATATTTAATGGTCTCTAGGAATTAGAACCATATATTCTACAACGGAATTCAGAATTTAAAAAGGCTAAAGATATCAACACTAAATACCCTAATATGATGTACAAAAAAGAGAGTAATAGAACTGTGAAAAAACAGTAAAAAATTAATGATGAATATTAGTGTGGTAACTAAAATAACATTCAGATTCAGTCAATTAAAAGATCATTTTCTGAAAAGCCTTAATGGTAGTTACTTGGTTAACAGTGATCCCAAAAAGGAGATACAGAAGTGAATAAATAGTATTTGATATTATCACTAGCAAACAAAAAGGAAAATAATAAGAACTAGAAACAGAACTTCCAATTAATAACAGTGATCACAATTCCAAGTTTATTAATAACTGAAAGATGCTTTTTTCCAATTCTTCTTGTTCGGAGCCATCCTTTTATAACTTTACCAACAACCTATATAATTAGACTCTGATCCTGCAAAATATTAATCAAACATCACTCAGAAATCCCATTTGAATCATGGCTATCTCTTTCACTTCCAACCTGCAATCAAATTACACCCTGAAAAAGAAACTATGACATAGTCCCCTGAAATCATAGAATGATTTTTGTATTCTTTTTTATGTGCCTTTCTTTTAATTAGAAAATATCAGACAATGGATAAGAGTATGTAGAATATACAAATAAAGCAGTTAAAATAATGCTGAAAAACAAGGTATATTATACATAATAATTCCAAAATAGCAATAATAGATAAACCAATTTACCTTGATGGCAAGAAGTCCTAGTGCGAGAGCGCTCCCTTTCTCAATCTTGTGCTGAAATTTAACCTGGTTAATCTGAAAAACAAAACCAAGAGAAAATAAAGCAGTTAAAATTACATATGCGTGCATCTGAATCCCAAAAAATCTAGGATCGGCTAACAGATCCTAAACATAGTTTAAAAATTTGTGATGGTCCGACAGCTTCCACCAAAGGACTTGTTGGTTGCAGAAACACATCTATGTGCTGAATGTTTTAATTCGTTGCCTAAATTGGATGGACTTAGTGTCAAAATATGAGAACTATGTGTTGCTCCACTTTCAGTATTAATCCCTACAAAAACAATTAAGGATATTGCCTGGTGTAGATTGAGGCCTGATAACGAATCGTGGTTTCCGAAGCATTCCTATAAATCCAAATACTCAATGACAATAAGTAAAAATGAAAAAAAAACAACTAATCAATTGAATAACATAATGTATTCATAAAACATTGTTGATAACTTACAAAAAGATAGCAATATTATGCATGAAACCATAAATAAATATGAAACACAAAAATCACATCAATCAACAATTTATCAAATGTGAGATCAAATAGCATGATTCTATTACATTTGGTTTCAAAATACAAATTATCTAATTTAGCTTGCATTGGTCATGTCGTTCAGTATAACACTTTAATCATTGGCATGTTCATTAACGGTCAAGGTGGGATTGTCATCATCCACATTAGGTCTTGTTAAAAGAATATGCATAGCATCATCAAACAAAATTTGTTCCAAGTTTTGGGATGGATATAACTCAATGGATGGCATAATGTCTTCTTCATCTTCACCCATGTCGTACAAATCTCTTGGTTTCAAATGAATAGGTATGCTCCAACCTTTTTCTTTCTCATCGTCCACAAAATAAACCATTTGAGCTTCAGATGCTTTGATGTATGGCTCATCATCTTCATGTTCACCTGTATGTATTAGTCTGGTGAAATTAATTGAAGTAAATCCCAGATTATCTTTTTTGATGCCTCTAGGATTAGTGGTATTAGCCCATTGACACTTGAACAAAGTAACTGTGAATAAGCAATTATAATTGATCTCTATAATGTCCATCAGTTTCCCATAGTATAAGACATCTCCAAACCTCATTTGACTATCACTATTACTTGAATAACTTCTAGTTCCAAATGTACCAAATACCCCACTATTTTGTGTTTTCAAGCCCCGATCTCGTGTCAAGGTTCGAAATCTGCACCCATTTACATTGTATGCATTGAACCTTCTAGCTTGGCTAATTGGACCTTGACCAAGAAAAAGCATAATATCTTTATCTGATTCACTCAGTAGGTCAATATCTTTAACAATCTACATATGAAAAAATTTAACATTGGGTAATTATCACAACATAGACTTTAGTTAATATATGCATTATTCACGGACATAGTGAGAAAGGTACTCACCCGTTTAGAGAACCATTCAACAAACTCTCTATGAACCTTCTTATCAATATGAGCAGGATTTCGTGTACGAGGTCTGAGCTGCCTCCGCACCTCAGTTCGAAATTCCCTACACAAGATTAAGAATATATTAATCCATAGCTTCGAAGTAATTGCAATGATTGAAGTGTGATAATTACTTACTGGAGATAGGGATCAACTGCCGGACAATTAATTAGGACATGTCTATGTGCTTGCAGCATTTCCATTGGTGTGAGGTTGAAATATGAAGCACCGCCAATCGGCTTCCCTACTTGGGGAAACAATTCATGTACTCGTGTTTTTGGCAATTCTTGATTTGGGGCATCATCGACACGATCTGGACGATTAAATCTAGTCTCAATATCATCTAGATACCTTGAACAAAATGTGAGAATCTCTTGCATTAAGTAACCTTCTGCTATAGACCCTTCCGGTCTTGCCTTGTTCTTTACATAGGACTTTAATTGTCCTAAGTACCGCTCTATTGGATACATCCATCGATAATGGACAGGGCCTCCATGCTTAGCTTCATCAACAAGGTGAACAACTAAGTGAACCATTACTGTGAAGAATGAAGGGGGAAATAACATCTCCATATGGCATAAAGTGAGAACAATCTCATTTTGGAGTCTTTCTAAAGTTGTGATACTTAACACCTTACTACAAATTTGTTTAAAGAATGAGCACAATTCAATTAAAATCCTTGATACTTGTTCAGGCAATGCAGTGCGCATGGCCAATGGTAGCAGTTGATGCATTAATATATGACAATCATGACTTTTTAGCATCCCATTCAATCGAAGAGGCTCCACATCAATGCAACGAGAAATGTTGCTTGCATAACCATCTGGCACGGTAACATTCTTTAATGTATTTAAAAATGCCTTCTTGCCTTCATTGGTCATTGTGTAGATTGCGGGAGGATATCTGCCGTTTCCATCTGGCCAAAGGTCAGGCTTACAATCCCATTCTTTAAGGTCTTTTCGAGCATGAATGTGATCTTTGGACTTTGCACTATCATTTAGCAAGGTATATATAATGTTGTCACACACATTCTTTTCAATATGCATGACATCAAGATTATGACGCAACAAGTTGTGCTCCCAATATGGAAGCTCAAAAAAAATGCTTTTTTTTCTCCATTGTTGAGTGCTGACCTTTGTAACACGTCCACTACCACGTCTTTTTTTCCCCTTTCCTCCAATTTTCTGTTTTCGACCGAAGGTCACATGAACATTTTGAACTTGTTGAAGAATATCAGTACCAGTTAATACTTTAGGTGACTCACGGAGCTCTTGCTTCCCATTAAAGTGAGGCCTATTCAACCTAAACTTGTGTCTTTGATCAAGAAAACGTCGATGACCCATAAAACACCATTTCCGACTATGAGGAAGTCGACAAGGTATTGAGTCAAAGTTGCATGTTGGACAAGCTAATCCAGTGTAGGTGTTCCACCCAGATAAAGTTCCAAGGCCAGGAAAGTCACTAATAGTCCACATTAATGCCGCATGCAGTTTGAACATCTCTCGGGTAAATGAATCATATGCATCCACACCATTGTGCCACAATTCCTTCAACTCTTTCATTAAAGGTTGTAGATAAACATCAATGTCATTTCCAGGCATTCGTTTCCCAGGTATGATTGTTGACATAATAAAAGAAGTTGACTTCATGCACACCCAAGGAGGGGTGTTGTATGGAACCAATACAATTGGCCAGATGCTATAATTAGAACTCATGTTGCCAAATGGATTAAAACCATCAGTAGCTAATCCGAGACGTACATTGCGTGGGTCTGATGCAAATTCAGTGTTGATTAAATCAAACCTCTTCCATGCTTCAGAATCCCTAGGATGCCTCATAATGCCATCATTGTTATCATCCATGGCGTGCCATCTCATATCTTTAGCAGTCTTGGACGATAAAAACAACCTCTGCAATCGTGGCTTCAATGGAAAGTAACGAACAACTTTTGCAGGAACGTTATTCTTACTCTTCTTACCATCAGATTGTAAATCTTGACCACCCGTAGCCTTTGGTTTCCATCTGGACAACTTGCAAACTTTGCAACTTTGCATATCTACATCATCCACACCCCAATAAAGCATACAATTATTTGGACAAGCATGTATCTTTTCATAATCCAAACCCAACTTTGAAATAGTTTTCTTTGCCTCATAGAATGAAGTTGGCAAATTGGCATTTTCAAATGCATCTTGTAGTAGCTCCAATATCATTGTAACAGCCTTGTCAGTCATCCCACAATAGCATTTGATGTGATATAACTTCAGCATAAAAGAGAGTTTTGAGTATTTCTTACATCCTTCATACAGAGGTTGTTCTCCATCTTTTGCTAATTCAAAGAAATCTTTATCTTCATTTGATGTGGTTCCATCATCAAGGGCAATGTCTTCATCTATGTCAAAGTCATGCTCATTCTCACGGAGGATATCAACTCCAAATGCATCATTTATCATGTTTTGTATTGGATCTTCATCAACCAAGTTGTTTTGTTCTACATTTGGTAAATGTGTGGCATTGACATTACTATTTTCCTCCATCCTTGACTCACCATGGTAGAACCAAAAAGTGTATCCTCTAGGGAATTGTTTGCAAATTAAATGATCATAGACAACATCTCTTGGCTGCCACTTTCTAAATCCACATACCGGACAAGGACATATTATTTCACCTTCAACACCACAATTTTCATATGCAAAGTTAATAAATCCCCGAACTCCCTCCTCATACATAGATGTATTTCGTGGCATTGTTATCCATGATTTGTCCATTGCTTTGTAATCTTTTATCTGCAAAAGACACTTTTCGCAAACATAGGTTAAATAACTCTGAAGAAACCATTAAGATTAGAAGTAAAGACATATCTGTATTCAAAATTATGTCCTACAATGAATAGACCTTCTTAATAATATCTTTATAGGTTTTCCATTTAAATTCCATTAGTGTTCATCATAATAGTTCATGTGACAACATCTCAGACAACATAAAGGCAGTAACTAGTTTAATATATTATTGTCACCAATTGAATTCAAACACTCATTCATAGCAGCATAATAGTTTGCATTCAATATGATTCACAATAATCATATACTAATAATCACATTCTAATTGGAATATCATATACATTCACTAGCAATCAAAGAGTTCAATCCTTCCTCACACAGAATCATTGACCAAGACCAAAAGCAAGGTTGATGGCACAAAAAAAAAGGCTTTAATCTTAGTAGTGCATTCAAGCGATTCTCAAGTAAGGGTGAGAACATATAACACCATCAATTAATAATATTAACAATTATGAGAAATAAATTAAATTAAATTAAACTAGTATAATGAACTTATAATGCATCATGTTCAGATCCATTAAGTTTACCTTTTTCTCACAGAGTAGTCATTGTCACAGGATTACTTAAAAAAAAAAGACAGGATGTTTTTGCTTGCTTAGTACTATAGGCTCCTGCATAGAATAAAGAAAAGATTATGGCAGAGAATATTATTGTATTCACTAAATAGTACCATAATTTACAGCTTTAAAAAAAATACCAGGACATAAATGTCTTATTGAATGGGTAAGAGCCATATAATTTTATTTCTATAACCTAGGCTGCTATAATCCACTAGGATTATATATAAGCAAAAAAAAATTTCATTTTTCTATAATAAATAGTCCTGTGATGAACAAGAATTTGTTTCATTGGTCCTTGCAAAATCACAGTAACACACACCTGTGTGTGACTGTTAGTGAATCAGGTCTTAAAATCGAACCAACTCATTTAAAATAAAAAAAATTGGAGTATAAAAATATAAATAAATTAATAAATTAATAAAATGAAAAATATTGTAACTAAATACTTAAAATGATACATATACGGCCATTTGTATGAGAAACTGCATGTAACTTCAATTCAAACAAACGAAGGATAAAATAAGTTTTATTTTGTTTTTTAAAGTAATCACTAATCCAGCTTGTCGTTGTTGTTAGTTTTAAAAATTAGAGCAAATGAATTATTTAATGAAACAGTAATAAATGCCATCATGCAATATGAGAGATATTTTCAATATTTGAGCAAAAAGAGTTTATACTTTACATGCTAAATTCATCATTAATTATGACAAAACAGTGAAGCTAGATTGGAAAGAGATGCCACGGAAATTATACTGTTTTATATGTGTACAGGAGATAAATTCAACATGAGAGACATTAAAGCCACAAAATTATGGTTGAACCAATATTATGAAGACTGCCTAGACCCATCATTAACTCAGTTGAAAAGGTTGATTTAAATTTATAAAAAAGTATGTAATAAATATATTAATAAATTATTAATATTATAATAAATTCAATGGCATAGTGGTTGTTGTCATTGAATTCCTCCAATGTATACTGTGTTCGAATCTTTCTAAGTGCCGTTGTTCATAAAAAACATCCACCATCATTGGAATTTATATTTTGCGACGGTTAGTAAACGCATTTACTTTGTCATTCTGAGTCGGTTTATAACCGTCGTCATTCTGAGTCGGTTTATAACCGTCGTTGAATAGCGATATTCTGCTTCATTTTGTAACCGCCTCTGAAATCAGCGTTTTCATTCTGAGTCGGTTACAACCGTCGTCATTCTGAGTCGGTTACAACCGTCGTCATTCGGAGTCGGTTACAACCGTCGTTGAATAGTGATATTCTGCGTCATTTTAATTACGGTTCATTAGGACGTCGTAGTAACCGTCGTTGTTATGTATTCAACGACGGTTGGCCCCTGACCGACGCCGATTATCTGTCGCAAAACACACATTTTCTTGTAGTGATATTTGATTGGTTATATGACTTATTATGGACTCTTATATGTATTAAATATAAATTATATTATATATATTAAAATTTTTATTTAATATCAAAACGTGTCCCAACGTGTCAAAATATGACATTTTTAGAATTAACGTGTCGGCATGTCTTGTCGTATCGTGTCTCGTGTCCCGTGTCCGTGCATCATAGCTTCCATGTGAGGGTTCGCGTCTCTTAACAAATTTACATACAGGCGATATTTTCAAAAAGAATAAGTAAATTCACTTGGTTAATAATGAATAGTTTCATAGTTGAAAAAAGTTAGCTTCCGCATTTATTGAGCTGCGCTATTACCATATGTATGTTTAATACACTGGGTGCGCACGAGATGTTACAAACCCTCACCAAATTTGGCTTCCTTATCTTGCATTTCGTCATTCATAGCCTCACCATCAATGTCTACCCCTTTTGGCTTCTTAACACTCCCTTCCAATAAATCCTCCTCCCCAGTCACCGGAGTTCTCCTCTCAGAATTCTTTTCTCTCTGAACCTCCGTCTTTTTTAATTAATTCAAACTATTGCCTCACTATTATAAAAAATACACCTCTAACTATATGAATGTGTAACAGTTTATAATAATACGTAACTCATTGAGTTTATATTTCATAAATTTAAAAATGATAAAGTAAAAATGACATAAATTCTTTTAAACAGAATAAAAATATTATATTATAGTATTGCGATTAATATACTTCTGATTAAATCATTATTAATATTTAAAACTTAACCTTTTTCTCCTAGTTTTTTTATTATTATGAATTGATAAATTTGACAGGTAAATTAATTGTAAGAAAAAAAAAACTTAATTGATTAACCAAATTCAATCTAAAATTCTCATTTATGGAGTATAGGTCAATTTTTTTATTCTAAATATTATGAAAGTAAAACTACCGTATTTCACCAACCTTTGGACTCTTCCTCTTAATGTTATCCTTATTTATTAATTAAATCAATAAATAATTGATTTATTTCAATTAAAAATTCATTAAAAAAACTCATTTCAGGATTTTAAATTTTCAATAAATGATAAATAATGATTTCGGAGAATATGATTGATAGAGGTAATGGGAGAAAACAATGTTTAAGTACTTATCAAAAATAAATAAATAAACCCTAGAAAGAAGACCACGAAATAGGTAAAAACCGAGAACAAGAAACATCACATAGAAATTGGAGAAAACCCCAAAAAGAAGTACTCGCGTCGATCCATACATGCATGTAAACCCACATTTGTGCTAAAATATTTGTTTTCACAAAAATTTATAATGTATGGGTAGACTTCTCAAAATTATTTTTATAGTGATCAGCAATATTGATTTTAAGGAAGTAATTTTTTTAAAAATAAATTCGTTAAATAAGATTGATTCAAATCAAATAAAAAATTAAAATATGTTTCTATTTATATTTTAAAAGTGGTTTTACTTTACGGGTTTGTTTTTTCTGATGTTACTTTAGATAACTTTATCTAATGTTCATCAAAACGACGTCGTTTTGGGACGGAAATCATGATATATTTGTAATTTTAATTTATTTCAGGGTTATAATAGTCTTTAGCACTCTAATTTTTTAATTTTTTAATCCCAAAACGACTTCGTTTCGATGAACATTAGATAAAGGTATCTAAAGTAACATCGGAAACTTTTTTCCCTTTACTTTATTATCCGAACAAATTGATTCTTCTAAGTTTAGTAATTAATTAGTAATTCACAATATTGTTTCTAAAATTATTAATTAATTAGTAATTCACAATAAATTATAATCATTGATCGACGGAAATCAATGATTATGATCTAAAATGACACAAAGTTATATCGTTTAAAAGGATAAATATTTTTCCTTTTAAAATATCATTTTGAAACACAAAATTTATAGAATCAGGATCGTTTTACACCGTGTAAGAATAATAAGTCTTACATCATATCTCAATCGTTGATTCTCGTGCATCCAACGATCATAATTTAGGAAGTGATATTAATTAATTAATATTAATTCAAAAAAAAGTTTTTTGAATTTCAAAAAAATAAATAAATATTTAATAAGGCCTATTTTGTAAAACAAGTTTTAAAAATTGTGATTTTTTTTAGAATCAAATTTAAAAAATATATTTAAGTTGTTTGTTTTGTGTTTTGACTTTTAATTTTAAAAACAAGAAAAAATAAAATAAAAAACACCTATTTCACTAATTATTTTACAAAACAATTTTAAGAAAAAAAAATCATACCATAATGAAACATGCGTAAAAGTTTTCTCTAGTCAAAAGAGATAAGTTATATTTGGTAAGTTCAAAATAATGTCATTTTGAATCGAAAATTAAGATATTTTTGTAATTCTATTATATTGCAGGGTTATAGTAGTCTTTATCATTATAATTTTTTAATCTTATAGCTTAAAACGACGTCGTTTTGAGCTAATTGAAGATAATTTTATCTCTAAATAATGGACAAATACTTTTCCCAATAAACATACCCATATTTCTCAAAATTCAACACAAATGTACTCGAAGTAGTTCACCGCGTACATTCAATGAACTCGATCAATACATGGAGAAAGAGGTAATGGAAAGTCAAGGAGAAAGAAAAGTAAAAAATGGTCAAGGAAAGAAGGTTAAACCTAAACAAAACCATTTAAATATTTCATGGATGAATGGAAGAACCAGAGATCAATACTCGTGGGTCGTGGCGCCGTCAATGAAAGGATGCACGTAATGTTCTGATCCGTACGACATTGACACTGTTTAGACCATCAGACACTTAAAGTTCAAACCACTGATCGAGGAGAGAGAGATAGAGAGAGGAATCCAAAAGCAAAAACAAAATTTTCAAAAAGCAAATAGAGATATATCATTGTGTGGCTCTTAGTTACCACAGACAGCAACATGGGAACTAACCAACCAATCCTAGCTCGACAACACAACATAACAAAACTGCTCTTGCT